CCAGGACTGTCTGATTTGGAGGCTGTGCCCCTCGCTGCCCCGCTCAGCAGCTCCCGATGCCCCTTTCCCCCCAGCAGCGTCCAAGCCCGTGCGACTGGCTGCGCTCTCAGCTCCCACCGCAGCTGGGAGCCGCTCCACCCCGACTGCCCCTCGGCTGACAAAGGACTTCCTGGTTTCTTTGAAACGTAGTGCTTGTTCGTGCCATTGCGTGACAGCTGCAGGAGCACACGCATGTACAAATGCACACACACCCCCGCACCCGCCTGCTACCAACATCACCCGCTGCCCGTTCCCCATGCCCATACATGGCAGGCTGCACACACACACCCCTACGTGCTTGGTCACGCAGCCGTCCCCCACTGCCCCTTCCCCCCCGTACCCTGCGCTGCCCCACGACCCAGGCCCTGCACATTATTTAACGAGCTCCCTTCCATCCTGAGCGGTTGCATGTGCTGCTCAGACCCAGGACCAGCTGACCCCGATGGGGACGGGGTGCCGCAACCCTTGCTCCCTCCTGGCTCAGCCCCCGCACCAAGGCTGGCACTGGGTGGGGGGGAAGGGGGCACACACGTGTGCAGGCGTGCGACACGCAGTCCCAGGGCGGGGGCCACCCCAGCCAGCACAGCCCAGCAGGGCCCCGCTATTTCCAGGGCAATTTGCATTCGCCTTCAGTTCCAATTAGCACTTGTCGACTCGAGCTCTAATTTTAATTAGCTCAGCAACAACTCTGCCATTAATTAGCCAGCCCCCTTAATGAGCCCTCCCCCTGCTAACGAGCAGACGGGCCTGCTCCCTCTCGGCACCTGGCACGCGACGTGGCAGGGCTCTCGCGGCCGTGTCCATGAAGTGGCCCGGCTCGTGCTGCAGCCAGGGTCTCCCAGGGCCACGGCGGTTCTGGGGAGGGGCTGGGACGGCTCCCCCCAGCGGCAGGTCCGTGGCGCGTGGCCTGCATCCAAGTGATGCCAGGGCAGCTCCTGGCTCCACGCCATGGCCTCGCTGGATGCCAGGTCCAGGGGCAGGCAGCTGGGGCCATGGCGGGCCCCATGCTGAGCCCCTCTAGTGCCGGGTGTTGCATGGGGGCACGGTGCCCTGTTCCTGCCGGCCTCTCTCCCATGAACCTGGCCCCAACCCCACTTCCTCTTCTGTGTCCTTGCTCCCTGGAGCTGCGTGGCTCCCAGCCCTTCCCTGCACCGACACCCTGAGTGCGGAGGGTGGGTCCTGTTTCCCACTCTTGCCCTCCTCCTCGGGGGTCACCCAGGGACAGGCCGGGCTCACGGCACCCATGGGTGGTGCTGGTGGCCATGCCGTGGCTGCGGGTCAGGCTGCATTGCATGGGTTAGCAGGTGCCTGGCACGGCTGGTGCAAGGGAGAAGTCGGAGTGAAGCTGCCCCACGAGCAGCAGCCCCCACGCGGGCAGGGCCCAGCCCGACACCGCTGCCTACCTCACGGCGTGGTCTGCTCCAAGGACACGGGCGACAGGCTGCAGCAGGAGCTTGTGTCTGCTCCGGGGATCCCTGACACTTTGACTCCGAGGCAAAGTGAAAGCGAATCACAAGATGTTTCCTGCCCCTCCCTGCCACCAGGCAGCAAGCCCAGGGCAGGGCAGGCTCCGGGCTATTCCTCCAGGCGCCTCCCCAGTGCCCGAGACTGGGGGCGTTGGCGTGACCCCTGGGCCAGAGCAGGGCTGCGCCCACAGGGCATGCCCTGCATCACGGAGCATGTGGCTGGACCTACCCAAGCCGGGGCCAGGACACCTGGGTCCCCCATGCAGCCCTGCCTGCTCGGTGCCTTGTTGGCCCCACCTGGCCCCGTGCCAGAGAGCCTCAGGTGCCACCACCGCCCGGGGCACCATCTGCCCTGTGAGCTTGCGGGCATCCTACTTACAGGCCCAAGCCCAGAGGCTTGGGGTTCAGCTGCCTGAGCTTTGCTTGCCCTCAGCCAGAAGGCCCTTGGAGCAAGCAAGGGAGGAGACTCCCATTTCCCTAAAGTGAGCTTAAAGCTGCTGCACCTCGGCGGGTCCTGACCCAGCCAGAAGCGCAGTTCTCCCAGGTGCGGATTGGGGGAACTGCCGTCAGGGACACAGGTACACGGTATTTCCCCTGCCGGGTTAGGCAGCCACCGTGCCTGATCTGAGTCTTCAAGAGGCTGGGAGGGGGGGGGAAACGCACTGACTGTGCCAGCGGCCCCTGCCCTTCCCGTCCCTCCACAGCTCATCGCCCCCCACCCAGGCCATGCAGGCGAAGCCCCACACCGCTGTCTCCCAGGCCGAGGGGGCTTTTCAGCTTTTGCTGCCTGGGGCATGGGGCTGCCACCTCCTCCCTGCTGCCCAGGGCACAGACACAGGGCTCCTCCAGCCCTGACACAGGAGCCAGGGACGCGGGGCAGGGTGGGGTCCGGGGCCCCAATGGACAAATGACGCAAACAGCAGGCATGTGGAGCCCTGGCAGGCGGTGCCACCTCTGCAGGACCCAGAGAAGCAGAAGGTGGCAGGGAGCAGCGCTGCGGCTGCGACGGGCATCCCACGGGTGAGGCTCCCAGCATCGGATCCCGTCCCCTGGCATACACCTTTCCCTAAGCACGGCCTGGCGCTCTCCCTCCAGCGCCTGGCTGGGCACAGAGTCGTGACGCTGCCCAAAGGCAGGGTGCAAGGGCCTTGCCTGAGGGACCCATGGGACCTTCCCACCCTCCCGTGCTGCCGGGGCCCTCGCAGACCTGGCAGCGGACACAGCTGCTATCAGGCTTTGCCAGCTGGCGAGCAGCCTGGCTCCATGTGCCCGCAGGCCTGACCCACTGTGGGGCTGGCCCACGGGGTGACGTGCTACGCGAAGCCACCCCACCAGGCAGGGCTGCTCTGTCCCGAGCTGGCCGCAGGGCCAGGGTGGCTGGCGCAGACGTGCCCATGCACCGTGCAGCAGGCTGGGGCCCTTCCCACCCTTGGGGCTTCCCAGCGAGGGCAAAGGGCACCATGGCAGGCAGGTACCACAGTTTCCACGAGCAGCCAGCTGGGTGCTGCTGGGACAGGGCCCCAGCTCCTGGATGCTGGTGCCTCCCCACACCCTCGCTCCCTCCTGCCCATGCAGGCCGCAGGGCGCCACGGCCAGCTCGTAAAAATGTACATAAATATATTTCCATCTCTGCAAGGGGGTGGGGGAGCTGTGGGACACGGAGAGACTGGGCGTTGCGCCCAGCCGTGCCAGCGTACAAAACATATAAAGGGGGCGGAGGGCGGGGGGCCCGAGTCCTTGCGGGAGCGTGGCTCAGAACTTCCTCTTCCTCCGCCGGGCAGCTTTGGTCTGCAGGCGACTGCCCGGCTGAGCGCCCGCCGGCTCCTCCAGGTCCAGCAGGCAGGCCGCGGCCTCACCCAGGGACATGAGGGCCTTGGCCGGGGGATCCCTCAGAGGCGTGTGGGGAGGGCTACACCGGCCACCTGCACTGTTCCCAGCATCATCCTGGGCCCTGGATAGGAGGTGCCTAGGGGAGAAAGCAAGACCCAAATGCAGCACTGCCCGGAAGAGCCCACCCGGCTCAACCCAGAGCCCACAGGCCCCGGCCAAGGGCTGCTGCCACCACCCCGCTGGAGCTGGAGGCAGGGAGCCCCTGGCTGCTCCAGGCTCCTGTGGCAGAAGGGCGTGGGAAGGGCCATGGGGCAGTGATTTCCCCCCCAGCCTGATGGCCCCTGTGCCCCACAGGGACCAGGATGTGGGCCTGGGAGTGGGGAGAGGGGATGCCTGGTTTACGAGAGCTCCCACTGACCTTGGGCTTGCTCCTGCAGACGATGTGACCCCCACGGCAGCACCTGCAATGAGAGCACAAAGCAGAGCCTCAGCCCTGGGGGCACGCTCGGGTGAAGGGGCCTGCCTTGGCATAGGGCTGGGCACGCACTGCCGGGCACTGGGCCACAGCGGGGGGGCTAGGGGCCGAACAGTCCCATTACCTGGCAGCAAGCAAGCAGCCCCTCTGCCATGCGCCAGCTTGCAAGGGGCAGGGGCAGGGGCAGGGGCAGGCCACTCTCTGGTGGGCCACGGGAGGAGACACTGGTGGCATTACACCAGTGTTGGGTCCTTCCAGCATCCCGGAGCGCTCGCACTGCCCTGCCGTCTTGCTTGGGAACTGGACCGACATGGGGGTCCTGCCTCTCTTCAGGACCCAGCTAGGACAGCCCAAGCCAAGGGACACCTGGGGGCACGAGGGGAGGACTGGCCCTGGCTTCCCCCTGCTTTGCAGGGACAAGCGTCTCTGGGACAGCAGCCAGACACGGCACCAGGAACACACCAGTGACTATGAGCCAAAGCAAACAGAGCCAAGGGGTGCGGGCCATGCCTCTACCCAGCCCTCCGCAGGGCAGGCCCCGAGCCCAGGACCCGTCCCTGTCCCTGTCCCCGTCCCGGCCGGGCATTCCCACCTGCAGCCTTGCTCTCGGAGAGCTCCAGCAGGGCAAGGAGGCGGCCCTCGGGCCTGTCATCCTACGGGAAGGAGAGAGCAGAGCGTCATGCTGCTGCCGGACCTCGGTGGCTAAGGAAGGAAGGCCCAGCCGAGGCGGCTGAGAGCAGCTCCCTCACAACAGGTGGGCCCGGGAAGGGGGTCGCAGGGCAGGAAGCCTGGAGCTCTGGGCCGCTCCCACAGGCTCTGACCACAGGTCGGCCATGACCTCCCTGGGGCAGCTTCCTCATGGGGGTTGCAGACTACAACGCCGGCTCCTTCACAAGGCCCTTGGGGGTCCTGGGGGCCGGCGTGCAGCACCATCAGCTGGACCCTTGAGAGGTCCTGCTTTCGCCCATGGGACCTCCATCTAGTCCTGGGGTCAAGGGTGGAGGGTGTGCCCAGGGCACCGATCCTTGCATCCA